GTGCCTTCAAAATGCAAATACTTTGACCAGCCCTTCATACCCCAGTGCAATTTAGACCATCAGAATTCCAGGCTTAGAGAATTTTTGCAATGTGCTGCCTTTAATTGGGGCGAGATGACCAGGGAATTCCGTAATGTGGGTGAAGGGAAGAACTGAAGGACTAAATTGAGGGTATCAAGAGCAAACTTAGGACTCCTCTCAATGTTTTACTTGGTCCTCTGGTATGCTTGCAACCCCCACCCCATGTCCTGCCTATGCCCTCACATTCTTTCTAGTGCCTTCTCTATGTGGACAGATGCTGGGAACCAGGAGATGCAGACAGTTTCTGGGGTGATCCAGGATTCTCAACCCACCCAGGGCAGCCCAGCTTAGCGGGGACCTAGGTTCTGGTCCTGAAAGCTGAGTATAGGAAGCCATGGACTACCTGACTGGTCTCCGGGAAAATAGGAAGGCTACAGCGAAGGTTTAGCGCGCCATCTGTTGGTCATTTTGGAAACTGCATCTCTGCCAAACGGGCTGCATAGAGCTACAGGCATCTGCAAATTTGCCAGCCGGTTCTCCGGCAAGAAATTGCGTTTAACCTTTCCAAGGTCTCACACCCTTTAAAAAGCCGCTGCACACTTGTGAACCTTCTATCCCAGCAAAATGCACTTGCAATTGGTTTTGCATATAATTCCAGGGACTTGGCCATCTTCAGGTTAAGATCTTCTGAGACCCAGAGATGCCAAGGAGTTTCCTTGAGCTCACATAGCACATTGGTGGAAGTGTCCAGTCTGGAAAGCAGGTGTTCCAGCCACAAATCTAGTGTTTTTAATGCTCAGACTGCCTCCTTAAGCCTTAAAGGGCTCTTCCCTCTTTCTTCTCTGCCAGAGTCCTGCAAATATCCTACCTCTCCTGGGGGTTTTGGGCTCTCGGACAACCCTGTTCGCTGTTCATTGTTCCTGGGTCCTACAGAAGCATGCCCCCAGGGCCACTTTAGTGACACCCACTTTGCTCTTAGGAGTCTCAGACCCCGCATCCTGAACTAGGAGCTAGGACAGGAAACTGATCTGTCACTGATAGGCTGCTGCCCCGGGATGGATTGTCAAACCTTCCTGGATCTTGGCCTCCCTAGTGTAAAATGCTAGGTTGGAGGCAGCCATCTCCAAAGGCCCTCCCTTACTCTAACTGCAAAACTGACCGATGGGTGCCGTCCTTCACAACAAGCAGGTCCAAATCACTTTCCCAGCCAAATACCCAGAGACAGGGTCAAAAGCTAACTTCCTTTCAGAATCAGAAGCCCTGAGTGGACAGGGCTGCTTAAGGGAGGGAGGGGACCTGCGCACCATGGGAACAGGAAGGACACAGAGGTGGCACCCCATGGGTCTTCCAACACCTCCAACAGGCCAGCAAGGCAGGACAATGAGGCAGACCAAGGGGCGTTTCTTGGGGATGAAGTAGTGTGGGAAATGGTGAGTAACAGGTAAAGGGGTGGCTTGGTGGGTTCAAGGGGATAATGCACAGGGCTGGGTATATAGTTGGCGTCTAATAAGGGAGACTCATTGTCATCACATAGCTGAACCCCAGCTTAACAGCAAATTCTACTTATTTAAACAAACATTTGTTCGGTTTTTGGTGGGAACAGAGGTTCTCAAACTTGAGCAGGCATCAGAATTATCTGACTGGCTTGTTTAAAATGCAGATTGCGGGGCCCCATCCTGAGTGTCTAATTTGGGCGGTCTGAGGTGGGGCCCTGGAATCAGCATCACTAACAAGTTCTCAGGTGATGCTGATCTCATCATTCAGGGAACACGCTTTGAGAATCCCTGCCTTGGAGTAACAGAGGAGACAGATCACCCTGCCCTCGTGAGGGCACTGAATGAGTAAACATCACAGAACTTGTATGTTCTGAAGTGGGACATGCAGAGTGCCTAGGACTGCTCCCAGGATGGGGAGTTCACGCTAAGACTTGAAGGCCAAGTAGAGCCAGCCCAGGAAGTGGAAGAGGGGTGAAAATTTCATGAAACACTTACTTAGAATGTGCCAGGCTCTCTCTCGTATCATTCATCCGCTCCTCCCAGTCAATGTCAGGAAGGTAGGATTAACGTCCATTTTACAGATGAGGAAGGTGAGGCTGAGACAGGGAAATAACTGGCCTGAGAACTCATGGCAAGAAAGAAGCCCAGGTCTGTTTGTGCATAGGATGCCTACCAGCAGCCACATCCCCTCTGCTGCAGCCCCAGGAACCCCCTTCTTCCCAGGGGAGCTGCCACCTGGACGCAGCTGCCGGACCCGGCCAGCCGCACTCCGTCCATTTCCCCCACTGGAGCTCTTCAAGTGTTTTCACTGCTGGGTGAATTCAGCAGATGCCTTTCGATCGCAGCCTATTAAATTAGCCCCTCTCTGCAGCCAAAAGAAGATAATTATGTTTTCATTAGCCCTGGATAATGTATTACCCCCTCGGTGACAGCCACATCAGTGAGGCCAGCCTCCTCCCTTCCTCCTCCTGCCCAGGGCTCCACCAGAGCTCTCCACTCCCCTGGGGTCCACCTCTGCACTAAGGGGTGGGCACCAGTGAGGGTCCAGCATGGCTGGGAGGTGGGGGGAAGGGACACCCTTTTCACCCATCCACCATCCACGCACGGGTTGAGGCGTGTGGTCCTGAGAGAAAGGCCAAGAATAATTGTTATCATGGTGACCATTTATAAAGTGCCTGCCCTGTGCTGATGCCAGGACGGGTCTCAGCTGGTTTGACTTTCCAATAGCTCGAGAGAAGGGTGGCACAACCCTCATCTTCCCCTGAACCCCAAAGGGGTCCTGGTGGAATCAGGTTATTGTGACAGCCCAGAGCGGCTTCCAAGGCACTACACCCAAGGGGCATTTGGGGGACTGTCACTGTGCATTATCCCAAGGCCACCTGGTTGATGGTAAAAGTCTCTTCCCTCCACTTGCTAGGGATCTCTGGAGACAATGCCCAGCACTCATGTGGTAGCAGTCCCCAGACATCAGGAGCCACTCTCCCCAAACCTGAGACACTCCCCGGATGGCTCCGACATCTTCACTCTCCCTCTTTCTCCACAAGACAGAGGCGAGGAGGCAGGAAAAGTCCCACTTTGGGGTCCCGAGTTCTAATATCTGCTTTACCACCGATTACCTGGGTGATCTGGAGCAAGTCACTCGGCCTCCAGAGCCTCTATTTTCTCCCTCTGTAAAATGGGAATAAGAAAGGGAGTCATCTCTTACCATTTTTCTGATGGTTCAGTGAGATATACCTATTAAATGCTTGGCTCAAAACCAGTGAAATGAGAAGTGCTCAATAGAAGATGGCCATTGTTCTCTTTACCACTGCAACTAGTGTCCCTAGTTCCCGTTAATCCTAGGGAAACCACCAGAGGGAGGGAAGGGAAGTCTGGCTCTGTCTGTCACTGTCCATCTTTCTCTGTATCTCTGTCTTTCTTTCCTGTCTCTGCCAATCTCTCTCTCTCTCTCTCTGCCAGTCTCTCTGTCAATCTGCCGATCTCTCTCTCTCTCTCTCTGCCAGTCTCTCTGTCAATCTGCCGATCTCTCTCTGCCTCTCTCTTACTCTCTCTGTCTCTTTTTCTCTCTGCCAATATGTCTCTCTGTGTATTTTTTCTTTCTGTCTCTGCCAATCTGTCTGTCTCTGTCTCTCTCTCTCTCTCTGCAAATCCCTCTGCCTCTCTCTTCTCTTACTCTTTCTGCCAATCTCTGTCTCCCTCTGTTTTCTGTCTTTCTCTCTGTCTCTGCCAATATGTCTCTGTCTTCCTGTCAATCTTTCTGTCTCTTTTTCTGTGTGCTTTTTCTATCTCCATCTCTGCCAATCTCTCTCTCTCTCTCTGCCAGTCTTTCTGTCTGTTCTTATCTCTCACTGTCTCTGCCAGTCTCTGCTGTGTCTGTCTCGCTCTTTGTCTATGTATCTCTCTCTGCCAATCTCTCTGCCTCTCTCTTCTCTGACTCTGTGTGTGTGTGTGCGCGTGCGCGTGTGTGTGTGTGTCTGTTTTCCTCTCTCATCTACACACACACACAGAGGGCCCCTCATGGTCCCTGGCTCCACCCATGGGCTCTGAGACTCTGTCTTCCCAGATCTCTGTCTCAAGAGCCACGTTCTAAGGCTTTGCTTTTAATTGCACCAAGGCACCTGGAAGTGAGGAGAGAAGTGAGGGGAGTGGGGTTTCTGTCCTGCTGTCCCCAAATCCAGCCAACTCTGCCTTCTGCAGGCACAGCCAGCCTTGGCTCTGACGCCACTATCTCCACCATCTCGTGGCCGTGCATTCCCTCCCAACCACCCTTCTCCCCAGTTTCAAAACAGCTTGTGCTCCCAGAGGGGAAGTGCCCCTACTCTGAGCTGCTTTTGGCCTCGACCCACACACAGGCAGACGTGGACTCTGTTTTGAGCAGGTGAACCGCCAGCCCAGTGGAACAGCAGCTTCCCTTCCCCTGGCTTCCTGATTTTCCCCAGTTGCCATGGTAATTGAGGGAGCAGCGTTCTGAGAATGACACCACTGAAACCCAGCACTCAACTTTGAAATGGTTCAGGCAAGGGACGCTGGACCCAAGACAGGAGGGGGCCAGACTGCAAGGACTCAGCTCCAGCCTCAATTTTCTGGGACCCGCCCCCCATCCAGTCTGTGTGCTACTGTTCTTACTCATCATCATCATCAAAATCATCATTATTGTTGGCAACTGTTTCCTGAGCATTTACTATATGTCTAGCACTATGTCAACGGCTTCACCAACACCATCTCATTGTGTATATCCTCACGACATCCCCAGGCCCATCCATGGCTCGGGAAACAGGCTCTGAAACTTGCCCTTGTGGCAGTCAGGAAGCGGCAGAGCGCTGGGGCTGGCGGCATTTCTCCAGGCCTCCTTCCAGTGTGTAGAAGACAGCATAGACCTCCATGCACCCTCATCAGCTTCTTCTTTATTCCTTCCTCCCCTCCTCATCCCCCACACCCCTCTTCCTGCCCCCAAAGTCACACCCCCCTCCCCTGCTGGATGTGCAAGACATCTGAAAAGCATTTATTAGTGACAAAGGGGGTGGTGGTTTTCCTCTTTGCCTCTTCTCTGTGCAACTCGAAGCCTGAGTGGGTTTGCTCCACTTGGCAAGGCTGGGGAGGAAGAAAAGATCAAATCACCCAGAGCCAGGTGCCAAGTGTGTGTGTGTGTGTGTGTGTGTGTGTGTCCTCTCTTTCCTTGCTTTTCCCCCGTTTTCCCAAGACTGTGTGAGCAGCAGCAACAGCAACGGGGAGATGCAAAATCCTTTGCAATCTGCCCAGGAAAAGACAGCTTTTGAGTCGGGTTTATATGGTTACCCATATGTTAGGGCCCCTAAGAAAGGAAGGGAAGCTGCGTTCCCTGTCTTCCCCTCCTCCAGCCCAGACCTTGGCCTCTCCACACCTGTGGCGCTCCCAGGCCACAGATGAACATGTGCCCTCCATCTTTCCCCCTCCCCAGATGCCAGGCCTGAGTGTGGCTCCAGAAAAGACCAGAACCAGGCAACATTTCCTGAACAGGCTGCCTTTCTCCGTCTGTCCACCCAAGAGCCAAGGCCAGAACCTAGGCTGCGACTCTGCGGGCTCCCGGGAGGGGCCACCAGCACTGCCCAACCTGGGGGGCTGTGTGTTCCACTGTCCCATTAAGGAATGCTATCCCAACACTGATGTAGAGACAGAAATAACCATCCCTGCCTCCTATGGGGCCTTCTCTGCCCAAATAGACCTGCCCTCCCCTGCGTGGCTACTACATTCAGCCCTCTCCAGGCTCCCAGAAATTGTCGTTGTGTGTGTGTGTGTGTGTGTTTCCTGATAGAAAAAAAAAATGGAAATTAGGTTATATAAAAGATGTATGCTTTGGAGCCCAGAGCGGCTCTTTTAATGAGGGTTGCGACGTCTCCCTCCCCACACCCATAAACCAGTCGGGTTGGACGTCACTACTAATTCGTTTCAGCGATGATAGGATAAAGGAGGGACATTAAGAAATAAATTCCCCCTCACGACCCTCGCTGAGCTCACGGCTCAGTCCCTACATATTTATGCCGCGTTCCCAGCGGCTGGGTGAGGAGCTACTTAGCGCCGCGGCTCCTCGGAGGGGCGGCCGGGCAGCGAGCAGCGGCCGAGTGGACGGGGTGAGCCAGGGGCGCGTGCGGGGCGCCCAGCACTGCGCCGGGGAAGCTCGCAGCCTCCGTCCCGAACTTGGGTTCGCTGAGGCTGAGGGAGGGGACGCAAGGGGAGGGGAGAAGAGAAGGGAGGAGTGGGGGCTAGGGGAGAGGGGGTGGGGAGGGATCTTGGAGGCACAAAGCGGAGGGGAAGGGGAGGGACGCGCGCGGCTCCTACCAGGAGGCGAGTGGGTGCAACCGGCGCCCTCCAGCCGCGCGGGGCGGCGGACTCGGAGGATTCAGAACCCGGAGCGCGGCGGCCGCTGGCGCCCGGGAGGAAGAGGAGGAGTAGGAGGCGGGCGGGCGGGTGCGCAGCGCGAAGAGGCAGCCTCCGCGCTGCCCGGCTCGGCGGCAGGTGAGTTCCTGATCCGGGCGTCCCGCGCCCCTTCTCCGTCCCCAGGGCTCCCCGCTCCCGCCCGAGTCCCTGGTGTGCGCGGAAGGCTCGGGCTTTGCTGCGCGTCCCAACTTGGTTCGGGCGGCCTCATTTTCCTCCTAGCGGGCGGCCCCAGGCCAGGGGCTCCGGTCCGGGGGTCTGTGCGCCCAGGCTCCAACTTTGCAGGACCCCAGTCGCTCCCCAGCCGCGCGCTCGGCTCCGAGCTGTGCGCTGGCGGTAATGGCGGAGCCCTTGGCACAGCTCGCTACCTTCCCGCGGGCAGCCCTGGCTGGGGGATGCCAGTCCCTGGGGACCGTTGTACCTGCCCAAGCTCAACTTTACGCCTTCCTCTGTGCCAGACTCTGCGGCCGAATTGCAACTGCGAGCCGCAGGTAATGGCGGAGTCTTTGGCACCGCCAGCCATCCGCTGCTGGGGGCCCGAAGCTGGGAGGGCTCCGCTCCCCGGAACATCGCCTGGGCCTGGCCTCCAACTTTGTGAGGAGCCTCCTTGCGCTCTCCTCCCGCGGTCATGGCGGGGCCGCCCGCACCTCGCACTTCTTCCGTCTGAGCGAGATTGGGGTGTAAGAGCGCCGTCTCCAGAACCTGGGAAAGTTGTGCCTCTCCCGCGAAGGAAGCTCTAGGGAGGCCGAGGGGCGCGCTCCGCCGCGGTTCGGGGCTGGGCAGCGGCACCAGAGCTCGGTGAGGTGGTTTCCAGGTGGCCAAGGGTCGGAGCAGGGTCCCCGGGAGATCCAACTTCCAGGGCCACTCAGGGACCTTGCGTCCGCGGTCCTGGAAGGGGCTCTCTCGGGACTGCGCCCCAGAGGAGGCCAGACGCTCGCCCCCACCCCCAGGGCACTGTGACCAGAGAGCTCATGGCTCTCCAAGCCCCACATCAAGCTGTCTGGGGTAGACATCCAGAGAGGAAAGGCTCTCACAGAGAAGGCAGCCGAGGAGGGCAGGAACCTTTCCAGTGACTCCCCTGGGTTCTGGTCCTAGATCGACCTTTTACTTGTGTGACCTTCGGTAAGTCTCTTCATCTTTCCCAGCCTCAGTTTCTCATCTGTAAAATGGAGAAACAGTACCTTTTTCGTGGGACTGTCGTGAGGACCTTAAAAAATCATAAATGTGAATATGAAGTCAGGGTAAGTGTTCATAACGCAGGAAGTGTTGCTGATTTTTCTTTTTTTAAAACCATTATTGTAATGCTCTGGGACCGGATCTGGGAGACTCGCACGCAGGTCTAGGGTTTCCCGCCAGTAGGAACTGGGGGGGTCTAGCCCACAGGGTACTACAGGCTGCAGAAGGTTGCTCTCGCCTCCATCTCTAACCCGGTAATCCTGGGGAAGACGCATGGGATTCTTCCTTCTACTCCCATAACCCAGATCAAACCCTGCGCTCAGGCCTAAGAAAAGCGCGCACAGCCGCCACGGAGGGAGGGTCCCTAGGGACGCCGCTAGGCAAGGGTGCGGTGCAGGCGAGCGCTCCTCTAGGCGCCTCATCTCACCTCTGGCGGCCCAGGACCTTGGGAGACAGCAGAAAGGAGCCCCCAGACCGCTCCTCCCGAGAGGAATGAGGGAAAATTGCTCCCTTTCTTCAGTGCTAATTGGGGTCGGGGCAAACGCAAGAAATTCATAAACACACCAGGGAACACTGACGCAGCTCTCTGGAGCACAGAATTTTCCCCCGTTATTTCTTCAGAACTGAAGATAAATCCCCCCAAGTGCGCATGGGTCGTGTCCGTTCTCCGCCCTCAAGGCATCTCAGCGGATGGTTTGAGAAGCCTCCGCAGGTCTCTGAAGGAGGGGGTCTCTGTCCCACCAGCACCGCCACAGCGGCCCCGGCCCCTTTCCACTAGCCTGGATTTCAGAGGCGCCCTGAGGGGCGCAGAGCTCTGTCACTGACAGCTCCAAGGCACTGTCACACATATTATTCACCTGGAGCCTCTTAACAACTCTCAGGTTGCCAGTGCAGTCATCTGAATTCCATTTTGCAGCTGTGGAAATTGAGGTGTGGCAAACCAAGCTACCTACCCATAGTCACCTAGCTGGTAAGTGGCACTACCCAAGACCTCAACCCCAATTTTTGCTTTCTTAATTGGGGGCATTTTGCATACATCTGGGCACCTACGCAATCTGACATGTACCGGAACCTTGGCACACATAGCTGTATTTCCTGATACATCTGCTCAGCCAGAGGCCAGCCATCCCTATGGTCAGAGGCTTGGCTTTGTCTCCACAAATTGTGTGATTTTTTTTTTCCCCAGAGTCCCAGATCACATAGAGAAAGAGTGAGCAGTGTGGTAGAGAGACCTGGTGAAGATCTCAGCTTGAGGCCAAGCTTAGCTCACTCCATGGCTGTGTGACCTCAGATTGTTCACTTAACCTTTCTGAGCTTCGGTTCTGTTGTCTGTAAAATGAGAACAGTAACTCCCACACGGGGCTGTTTTGAAGACTTTGTGATTATGTGTGTGAAAGGTGTTCTAGAAACAATGCTGTTATGCCAAGATTGGTGATTGTAAGGCAGGAAGGCCTTACAATCCGAAACAAATGGAGCCGTTTGGGGCCAGTAGTGTCATCGTGGCTTTCAGAGCAGCCTGCTTTTTGCCCTTTCTGTCTCCTCTTTATTTTTCTCAAATGGCCAAAGCCAGTCCCCAGGAGCCTGTGTATTCCACGGGGAAGGACTTCACGGAGAAGAGTGAGAGGGCGGGGATATTGTGACAGGTTAGGCTGCTCCCAGTGGGTCTCGGTGAGTAAGATGCAAAGAGTTGTCCAAGGTACCACTCAGACGGTTGTCCAGAAATGTCCCCGCTGGCAGGGTTGCTGATTTCCCAGGAGGCAGGAAGACTGGGAGGTCAATTTGCCTGCATATTGTGAGCACAGACAGGTTTGGCTGTGCCTGTTGCGCTCACAGTCTGCTGATGTTTTGGGGTGTCTTATGACAAGACTTCATGTGTTGCCTGTCACTCAGGTTCTATGGGTCTGTGAAGGGCTTGGAATGTGGTTAAGAGCCACAGGCAACAATCAGTGCTCATGAGAACTGGGGCTTTTTCCCATTAGAAACTGGAATTTGTAGGCTGGGCGCAGTGGCTCATGCCTGTAATCCCAGCACTTTGGGAGGCCGAGGCGGGCAGATCACGAGGTCAGGAGATCGAGACCATCCTGGCTAACACGGTGAAACCCCATCTCCACTAAAAATACAAAAACTTCTCCGGGCGTGGTGGTGGGTGCCTGTAGTCCCAGCTACTCAGGAGGCTGAGGCAGGAGAATGGCGTGAGCCCGGGAGGTGGAGCTTGCAGTGAGCCGAGATCACACCACTGCACTCCAGCCTGGGCGACAGAGTGCAGTTCCGTCCCAAAAAAAAAAAAAAGAAAAAGAAACCGGAATTTGTAGAAGTTGATTTTGGCATTTCAGGACCCTTTTTAATCTGGATTGTTTGAACAGGGGGGCATGTTTCCTGCCATGGATCAGTGTGGGTTTTTATGGTTAACACCACATAAGTTATAGACATGACCATTTTCCTTGTTCTAATATATGACAACATTTAAACATCATCTAATCCAGCAAACGCCAAACATCAGCCCAGTGGGCCTTTAGTGTCAGAATACAACAAGTCACTGGTTAAAAGCAAAGATGCCAGACCCCACCCTAAATCTACCAAATCAGCATCCCTGGGGGAGACTGGAAATATCTATATTTTTAACAAGGCTGCTCCAGGAGATTCTAATACCCTCAGTTTTTGTCTGTCACCCTCCTTGTACAAATTGGGAAACTGAGGCCCAGGAAAGGCATGTGACTGGATGAAAGTCACACAGCACATTACTGCCAAAGCTGGGATAGAACTTCAGTGTCTTGACTCGCTGTCCAATCCTCACTGATGATAACTTCATGTTTCCTTTGGTACAAGCCCTGTAAATGCCGGGGTTTAAAGAACTTTAATTTCATCTTTCTGATTGTCATTCTAGATTAGACCAACTGCTCAGAGGAGACTGAAAATAAGTCCTCCCACCTTGACCTTGCTGGGTGTCAGCACTGAGTTCCCATCTAATCTTGGACATTAGCCCCACTATTTGATCTATCCCTTTCAGAGGGAATATTCTTTTTTTTTTTTTGAGACAAGGTCTCTCTCTATGGCCCAGGCTGGAGTGTAGTGGCGTGATCACAGCTCACTGGAGCTTCGACCTCCTGGGCTCAACTGATCATCTCTCCTCAGCCTCTCGAGTAGCTGGGACTATAGGCGTGTGCCACCACACCTGGCTAATTTTTTTATTTTTGGTAGAGACGGGATTTTGTCACGTTGCCCAGGCTAGTCTTGAACTCCTGGGCTCAAGCCATTTGCCTGCTTCGGCATCCTTAAGTGCTGGGATTACAGGTGTGAGCCACCACGCCAGGTCTAGAAAAATTCCTTTTATAAGTGACCTATCAGGTATAACTTCTGCAGAGAAGTAGTCACAGAGCTAATAAACCCAGTTTAACTACCATTGATTTCACCAAAGCCATTGGTTTGAGCTCATTTCAGCAGCCCTTCGGCCTTCCACCCAGCCTTTGCAAGTGTGTTTGTGCTGCTCACATGCCTGTTCTTAAGGTAGAAGAATGATGAGCAGCACCAGCAATGCTGGAAAATTGAGCCCATTCGAATCTTTTAAATGAAAATGATGTATCAACAGAAAGTGCCCCTGAGTCTCTAATTCAAGTATGGTTAACAGGGTATAGTGGACGTGGGTCTTGGCACAGTCGTATGATGCTAAGGATGAACAGCAGTTACCGTGGGCCGTTCGGCGGCAGACGTCAGCACATTTATCGTATGTGTCATGATACGTGTTAAATGGCAAGGCCAGTGCTGGGCCCCGAGGGCAGGTGCCCAGATAAAGGTGGTGTGAGCCCCACTCTAATGAAGCCTGC